CATTTTTATTAGCAATTGCTTGAATATTAAATTATGGGAGTTGAAATCATATCTTTTATTTAACAAGTATGAAAAATGTGTACTGGAAACTGTATAGGTTTGAACTGCAATGGCAAATCGTTGGAACTCAAAGGAATTCGTAGAATCAAGCATTCGGTCCCTTGTAATCGATAGTTGCGTCAGAATCAGTTGGGTTCCATTACACAGTTTCGGCGCATGAAGATTGCGAAACATAATAATGACAGATCCAGCTTTGAGACGCAAATGATGCGGCGGCATACCAAGCCTTTCCAAAGTATTTCGAAATTCCACTTTATAATTCACGACTTCGTCTTCATTGTCAAGATGATCCATTTCCAATTCCATTTCCAATTATTAGCGAATACGATGCAAAATGTCTTCGGCAATGTAATTTGGTTCGTCATAATTGACGCAGATTTGAAGGCTGATATGTTGAAATGATCATCGCGATAAGTGCGCGACCTTCAGTGGCATGCCAAGTAGTTATCGCATCGTCCATCATTTGATTCCAGCGATTACTAGTTTCCAGCAATTATAATTGCAGGCATGCTTCTCAAAAAGTTGCAGACACCGTACCATTCACAGAAGCAATCATCGTTTTTCGGTTGGGTAAATTCATCCCAATGCATTAGTTGAGAACACAAATGAATATCCATCTACTTGTTGACCTTGTTTTCTTTGTAAACATTTCTTCGACGATGCATTGTATGTATAATATCAAGGCATTTCCGAATAAAGCAATTTTTTCGCAAACGGGTCACTGACGCACCTAACTCGTCATTGTGAAATTTTGTAATTGGCGGTGTTTCCGTTTGCTAATTGCAAAAGTAAATACCCTACAAAGCGCTTCATTACTGTTCATGTATCGACCTATTTGATAATATCAGTAATCAATAATCGCCATGTCGCTTTCTTTGGTGAGGACTTGCAAACTTATATGATCGATTTCACTAAACATTAATTGATATGAATTGGGAGTGTGGTAACCGCAAGGTCTATGAACCATATTGGTTTTCATCAGTTTGTATAATACCGGATCTTTCTCTGCATCAGGGATCATCAATTCATCAATTTGATCTGGTGCAGCCACCATCCACCATCCAAAGAAGAATGCATGTATGCGTGTGGAAAAACTCCTCTTTTGCCACTCAACAGAGTACATTTAGCACAGCAGCACCACATATGTATACGTTGCTTCAAAATAAAGTCCATCAAACATCGAAGCTGCTGTTTGAAAAGTCATGCTGTACTATCGTGATGATCGCTTGCTGGGAGTACTCAAGTAGTTCGTGTGTCTTGGGGTACCATACGTTGATGGCAAAAAGGACGCCGACCGATATTAGCGCGACCTCTTCATGGCTTTGGGGTCGGTTTAGTATACCGTCCCAGGATTTCGGTAATATTGGCGGCCTTCAGGCCCCTAAAATTTTTTATATATTTTTTTAAACCTTATCAAGATTATGTTTCCTATATTTAGGGTATAATATTTCTTTATCATTTTTTTTGTTTTAGTTTGTAAAATATTTTAGTATGGTAACACTGATTATTTGACAATTTGTAATTCATTTGTTATTCTAAAATAATAATATTTCAACAATAATTTAAATGTACATTAAAAGCAATTTTTACACTATATTATATAAAATAAATGTGTGCAAATGAATAAGTGATGTGTTATTGTATATAAAATTTAAAAATTTAAGTGCAAAATTAATTTTAAGTAGAGAAAATATGTAATTAAAGTATTGCAAAATCTCCTCTATCCGACCATATCCTTTTTATCCTTGAAATCCTGGGACGGTATACTAAATTCTTCCCTGGCTTTGTAGCAAATTTCAATCTGTAAATGATCACTTAGTGCGGAACACACATAAAGTTTTCACTAATTTTTCTTTTGAATAGCAAGAATAAAACAGCATTCCACCGAAATTGAACGATTCAAATAATTTACAAATCAAAATATTATATTGAAAAACAAAACAAACCAAAAAAATTTTAAAAATTTATGCGGAAAAAAGTTATTTTTTGGAATTGTCCAATTTGGAAAATAGATAGTAGCCGATTCTCAGACCTACTGAATTCGCATATATGTAAAATTTTTTAAAAATCGGTAAAGCCGTTTCAGAGGATTACGGTAACTAACATTGTGCCATGGAAATTTTATATATTAGAATATACATACTATAGATGACAGAAAATAGCAAAAACAGAAAAAAACAAGTAAGGAAGGGCTAAGTTCCGGTGTCACCGAACATTTTATACTCTCGCATGATAAAGTGATAATCGAGATTTCAGACGTGGTTGTGAACCGTTTTTACCCATATTTGGTACATATCATCAGGGTGTTAAGACAATGTTATATACCGAATTTAATTGAAGTCGGTTGAGTACTTCCTGAGATATGGTTTTTGGTCCATAAGTTGGCGACGCCACGCCCATTTTAAATTTTAAAAAAAAGCCTGGATGCAGCTTCCTTCTGACATTTCTTCCGTAAAATTTAGTGTTTCTGACGTTTTTTGTTAGTCGGTTAACACACTTGTAGTGATTTTCAACATAACCTTTGTATGGGAGGTGGGCGTGGTTATTATTCGATTTCTTCCATTTTTGAACTGTATATGGAAATGCCTGAAGGAAACGACTCTATACAGTTTGGTTGACATAGCTATAGTAGTTTCCGAGATATGTACAAAAGAGTTAGTAGGGGGCGGGACCACGCTCACTTTTCCAAAAAAAATACTTCAGAATATGCCCCTCCCTAATGCGATCCTTTGTGGAAAATTTCATTTTAATATCTTTATTTATGGCTTAGTTCTGACACTTTATAGGTTTTCGGTTTCCGCCATTTTGTGGGCGTGGCAGTGGGCCGATTTTGCCCATCTTCGAACTTAACCTTCTTATGGAGCCAAGAAATACGTGTACCAAGTTTCATCATGATATCTCAATTTTTACTCAAGTTACAGCTTGCACGGGCGGACGGACAGACGGACGGACGGACAGACAGACATCCGGTTTTCAACTCTACTCGTCACCCTGATCACTTTGGTATATATAACCCTATATCTGACTCTTTTAGTTTTAGGACTTACAAACAACCGTTATGTGAACAAAACTCTCTTTAGCAACTTTGTTGCGAGAGTATAAAAAACAACAAACACATGCCGAGTTGTAGCAAATGAAAATTTTTAGTAGCTCTGCTCTACTACCACTCCCAATTTTTTGCTACCGCTACGCCAGAGCAGAGCATAGCACTTCATTTTTTGCTCTCGCTACAACTACAGTTCTCGGAGGGGAGCAGAGCACATACTTTTACATTGTCATGCTATGGCTCTGCGGTGGCTACCGACAAAGTGAGAGCGGTAGCAATAGCAAAATGAAATGCTACGGGAGTAGCTTAATTCCATTTCACTATCATTATACTTTTAGAGAAGACAGTGTCACTGAGGTTCAAAGTAGCGGCACGTACCACTTTTTCCAGCATTGTATTGAAAAGTCGCATGGGAGAGAATTATCCTGTCTAAAACCTCGTTTGGTATCGAATGGCTCGGAGAGATCTTTCCCGATTTTAATGGAGTTTGGTTGTGCTCAACGTCATGCGTAGACGTATGAGCTTCACATAGACACCAAATTTAGATATGACCTCGAATAGGCAGTTTCAACAAGTGGTGTTGAAAGCGATAAAAAGATGATGGAAGTCGATCTATTTTTTACGGTTTGACTTATTGTGAAAATATGATCTACAGGAGTTTTGCCTGGTTCAAAGGCACGCTGATGAGGTCCAATCAGTTTATTTACAAAGGACTTAAGTCTTTCACACAATTTTGTCGAAAGAATTTTATAGGTGATATTAAGAAGACCGATTCCGCGATAGTCAGTGCAGACTGCAGAATCTCCCTTCTTGTGAATAGGGAGTAAGTATACTCATATTCCAAGCATTGACCATTTATTCATCCGACCAAATCATGCTTATCAGCTGGAACATGCGCCTTTCAATCTCCTCGCCACCGGCTTTAAACAGCTCAGCCGGTAATCCATCGGCGCTGAGGCGTTGTTTCTCTAGAGACGCCTTAGAGCTGTATTCACTCCGTTTTGGTCGACTGGCGGAACGACAATGTTGTTGCGGTAGATCGTTGGTATGTGTTCTTCTTAGCCATTTAGCAGTACCAGTGTACGCTGTTTGTCTGTTATCAGGTTTTTCCACCAGCCCCGGATTTTAAGCCATTTGTTTCTTTGCCTTACAGCATTGTTTCTCCGTATTCTCCTGATTCGTGTTGCCACGTGTTGAGATTGGGCTCGGAAGAATGTTTCTGTTTCATTTGCGCTAAAAGGCTCCATCCAAGCTCCGGCTACGGCTGTGTAACCTGCACATAGTTCGTGTACTGCGCCACCACTCCACCCGAATGGAGAACAGAGGACCTTCAAGGTCCATGGGAGCTCGAAGAGGCAACATTCACGCCGGTCCAATCCTCGTGCGATAACCACTACAAACATACCTCTTGTCTTGATGTTGATTACTCAATTACGTTGAACGCAACAAAGTTTCGACAATCACTGACCGCCATTCATAGTATAGCCATCACCGACTTCCTTTCAGTGGCGTACTCACCACCCATCGCAAACGAAGAACTCGAGTCCCTCACCATCCAACAACAACAGGGAGTGGGCATGGTTTTCATCTGATTTTATCCATTTTCGCAGTGTTTGAGGAAGTGGTAAAAGGTATTCTTCTCAGAAAGTTGGCACATACAGACCGACGGATAGACAGTACATATATATATAATGAATATATAACTCTATATTTATCTCGATTAGGTTTAGGTGAATTCATTTATATTCAGACATTTATTTTAAGACCAAAGTGGCAGCACTCATATCTATCTACATATTTAATTTAATAAAATGGCATGTAACTTCGAGATAATTTGAAAAAATCATAACTGTTACCGGTTATAAAAAATAAATTTTCTCTTTTTCTGTTCAAGGTGGTCAAATTTTTCGTAAGTGCGGTGAATTCACCGCTGAACAATTTCGGTCCTATCGCATTGTTATAATACGACAAATAGAGTCCATAATAAATCGACCTTTGACAGCCACAGAACAGGAGGTAGTATTGTTCCCACGGATTTGCTGCAATACAAGCTGCCGCGAGTACGATTTCAGAAAGCTGGTGGATTGCGAAAATTGTGGACAGGTATTTGAAATATAAATTTTTTTCAACTATTATTACTACTAATAATTTTCAAGGTCGCGTACTGTCGCGATAAGCCGGAACATTTTAACAAATCCCATCAGGATTGGTGCAAATCATACCAACTGTTCAAGAAGCTAGAGTTAATGCAGGCCAAAGGTGGAAAAATCGATCCGGCAATGCCAATGAAAATACTCCATGATATCCCAGGAGCTTGTTCTAATACTAAGCAGATTCTGAGCAAATTAGACTGCGGTAACTGTACTAAAGTTTTACAATTGTGTATTTTATTGAGTATTAACTTTCTATTATCGTTATTAGCCGTTCAGGATGATTGTGAATTTTCTGCGCTTAGTCAAATATCTACGTGTCCCTTGACAGCTTGGTATGCTCTGAAGTTATGTGGGCATTTGAAGAAGTCGGAAGAAATTACTATACATCTCATCGGTAAGTATAAATTATTTTGGAATGCGTACGTCTATTTTACTTGAAGTATCTTAGCCAAAGTACTCGATGGTCTTAGCTTTACTTATCTTTCCCTCGTATGTCGATATAATGTCTTATGAAAACTATAACCACGCTTAACTTACACTTAAAATCAGATACCACAACTTAAACTACCCAGCAAGTTGCGACCACCCAAACTCCAATGCATCGAGCACAGCAACTATCCCATACACACGATACGCCTTATAAACCATAAAGGGAATGAATTGAGTAATTTTGTCAGTTCGGCCTTAATAACTGTAACTGAAATCTCGAGAACAGTTCGACTACAGCTCTGAGGCGAGTAAGTTCGTTAATCAACCGTCTAAGTAAACGTAAAATTGAAATAAGTGACAAAAGTTGAATTAAGTGATTAATACTCTCATCGCGCACTGGTGTAAACCCCGACTCACCCGACGGGGACGGGATTCCGCCGTTCCTCCCCCAACCATATCAAAAAATTACGGAAATAAAATCTCCTGGACCTAAATTTTTAGTGATGAAAAGAATAAATAGTAACGAAACCTTAACTAAAGTGTCCCCATTCCTTATCAAAAAAGTGATCGACGGTACATGCGGGCAAGTCGACATGTGCAAAAAAATCAGAGGTGTCGATATCCTCATAAAAACAAAGAAAAATACACAAGCTCAGAAACTCGAAAAACTAAAAAATTTATCCCTTTACATACAAGTAAAAATAATAATGCACTATAATCTGATTTTCACCAAAGGTGTTGTCTATTGCAACGACCTTCGTGGAATACCCGAAAAAGAAATCTTAGATGAACTTAAAGATCAAAGCGTAACTGAAGTACGAAAAATTATGCGTAAAGAAAACAATAATGACTCAACACTTGTGGAAACCGTTTTAATAATAATTACCTTTTCATCGCTCTCACTACCTGACACAACATCTATCGGTTACGAAAAAGTACGCATCTGACCTTACATACCTCAGCCTCTACGATGCTAAAATTGTCACCGCTACGGACACCTCACGAAATACTGCATAAGCCAAAAGCTATGCTCAAATTGCTCGCAAACTTTTCATACATCACCAGATTCTGTTGAAAAGTGCCGCTACCCGTCCGCCTGTCATAACTGTAGAGAAAACAACACCAGCTACGCCGACCACTCATCTTACTTTAGAAGCTGATCTATATTCATTAAACAAAAGGAAATTCAAGCTATTAAAATACTTCAAAAAGTGGACCAAATAACTGTCGCGCTTTATTTTTTGATATTTTGAACAATTAAACAATTTTATTTATTATAAAGACTATTGGCTTACATTAGGACTGCTTAAGTTCAAATCGTTCACCTTTGATTTTTTTTACCAGCTTCAAACGTTTCTGAAGACTATTGCAGGCGGCATGTACCACTTCATCTGGAATTTTGCCCCAAATTTTGATTAAAATACGCTTCAATTGATCCAATCTTACGATTTTCAAATATTTTAATTTGTCAAGCATGTATCCCCATATACTGAAATCCAATGGATTCAGATCCGGAGAAGATGGAGATCATTCATCAATCGGAATAAAACATGGCAAATTATCCTTGCACCAGCGCTGAACAATTCTTGCTTTATGAGCTGGAGCAGAGTCTTGCTGGAAGCAATATGGTTCGTTGCCGAAGAGCTCAGATGCATGAGAGTAAAAATTATTGACAATCACTTCATCCAAATAATATTGTGCATTGATTTTGACACCTTTCTCAAAAAAAGGAGCGGGAGCTTGCCTTTTTTGGATATGGCCCCCCATACCATGACAGACGTTGTGTTTAGATATCTCTGAACGGCTAATTTATCCGTTGGGATATCCTGCATGCTTGTTGCATACACGCGATCATTCTGGGGATTGCGACTTTTTTGCAATATGAATAGTTTTTATCTCCGTAAGGCCATGAATCCTCTTCCTTTCGTAAGGTTTATGTCCCAAGTCCTCTTTTAAAACATTTCGGATGGTTTTCCGGCTCACCTTCAGCTCTTTAGCTAGATTTCGAGCTTAGCACAATTTCGCTTATCCTTTCAGGCACATTCTTCACCAGCTCAGGTGTTCTTATACTTCTTTTTCGTCCAGGTTTTTTTGTATATTTAAATACTTAAAATTCTCTTAAATCGAGCCACAGTGCGTTGGACAAATCTCCGGTTTACATCAATGTCTTTCAGCAATTTAACAATTTCGCCTGTCGTTTTACCTTGCAAACGTAATTTTTGCACATATTTCTTCTTTTTTCTTTTTCTATATATTATCGTATTACTAATTATCTTACCACCTGAATACTATTACATTCATTTAAATATTTAATACAATACACTAACATGTCACTTACTATACTCCAATGCAATATAAAAGGATACACAAATATCTATATCGACCTACAACTATTGTTAAAATCACATTCTACGAAAATAGTTTCTCTCCAAGAAACACACGTTATCATCCAATCTGAGGGAAAACGATTTCCAAATTCGTAACACAATCCTTACTAACACTCCTAAACGACGGTTCGCCTTCCCACTACTCCACCCACCACACATTAACACACATTGAAATATCAATCGCATCCCCAATCATCGCCATTCAAAGCCATTGGAAAACCATTTCCCTATAATAATTACTCTCTTCCCTGACAATAACATTTAAATAGTCCCAAACCGCCCCAAATTCAATCTAAATAAAGTAAACTGTACCCAGTTTCACCTCCTAGCAAGCCATTTTAGCAACAATAGACCGGTTAGCACGAATATCAACAAAGAAACTGCAAACATCCACAGGATCTTACTTCAAGCCGCTAATGAATCCATACTCCAAACATCAAGCAAAAGATAATATACAGTCCCATGGTGGAACAACACACTACAAGAACTAAAAATATTAAAAATCAGCATTGGAATAAATTAAAAAGAAACATCTCGAACGACAATATAATTCAATATAAGAAGGCTCAAGCAAAATTCAAGCGAAACATAAAGATAGCAAAAGCAGAGTCTATTAGTCAATTCACCTCAAATATTAATCCGCACACACAACCAGGAAAAGTATGGGCAACCATTCGCTCCTTCTGCGGACTAAAACCCAGATATTCAATTCATTGTATCGATACCCAACTCTTAAATGGAAATACAACTACAGAAAATGCGGAAATTGCGAATATATTTGGACAACTTTGGTCGAAAAAAGCACAAAACCGTAACTTCTCGTCAACATTTCAGCAATGTAAACAAGACACCCTCAAAGGAACATACACCTTAATACCTAGCAAATCTGCTTCCTTTATCGAAGAAAATATAAGCTATTTGAAGTTAGACATTGCACTAAATAGACTCAAAGACAAAACAACGGTCTTGACCCTATATCTTACCAAATGTTACAACACCTACCAAAAACCGTAAAACACCGACTCCTTTATCTGTTCAACAATATATTCAATCAATACTTACCGCAGATATACAAAAATTGTACGGTAATCCCCATACTAAAACCTGATCTCGATAAAACCTTAATTAAATCGTACCGACCTATTTCTCTCAATCCATGATGCTCAAAAGTACTAGACAAGATCACTGCCAATATATTGTGGTGGTTTGTCGCCGCAGACAAACTTATACATAGTCATCACATGGGATTCAGGAAGCGAAAATCAGAGTTTGATTTCCTAGTATATCTAAACAATCATATAACTCAATCCCTATCGGCCAAAAAACACCTATCTCTCTAGACTTCTCCAAAGCCTTCGACAAAGTGGTATTACACTACATTTTGGACCAACTTAGACTCTGGAATATCGGCCCAAAAATTTTCCAATACATAAAGAATTATCTGACCAACAGAACTATCAAAATAAAAATAAATTCACATTATTCTCAACAATATTCCCTACAGAATGGTATCCCACAGGAATAACCATTATCCGTTATACTCTTCCTCATAGCTTACAATAAGCTTAGTAATATCATTTCCCTTCACAAGGAATTAAACTTCCTGGCATACGCTGACGACAACATCAACATAAGCTTTGTTAACAACCTAAAAATACTCGGACTTATATTTAATAATAGATACAAATCGAATAGTCACATCGACTACCTAGTATCTGCACTTAAAAAACGAATCGGCATCATAAAATGCCTCGCAAGTACAAAATACAATTGCAACACAGTGTCATTACTATTAGCAGTAAAAGCGTTGATTATATCAAAAATCAACTCCGGCATATACCTATACGCGTACGCACCAAAATCGACTACCAGAAAGCTGAATTCAACCATCAATTCTAGCATACGCACAGCCCTTGGCGCTTTCAAAACAACCCCAATCATATCCCTTAACTCCGAGGCCAATATCCTACCGTTGAACACCAATAGAGATTTTAGTACAGCTACACTTATAAAATCGGTCATAATCAACGATTACTCCCCTCTTCCCATGCTCCTATCCAAAAATCCTCAAAAAATAATTAATAAAACTCCATTCTGCCTAAATAGGATAAAAAACTTAGCAAAACAATTCGACATCCCATTAAATCTTAAACCTTACAAAAACTCCAAAACTCCGCACTGGAAACTGAATCACTCAACAATAAACACAAATCTAGCCCATTTCAAAAAAACGTTACTCCTCCACTAGTATTTAGATAGCAATTTTACGCAACTATCGAAAAACTCCGCAATTTCAAATTCCTATACACGGACGGTTCCAAAATCAATACTTAAGTTAGCTACATAATAATTGAAAACAAAAAAATTATAAAAATCGCACACCTACCCATCTATATCTCAAATTTCTCTGCCGAACTAATAGCCATTCAGGAAGCTATCAAATACGCCACAAAGTTACCAGGCAAATTCGCAATGTGCACTGACTCCCTCTCTTCTATTGACTCAATTAAAAACCTAAACAACCAAGACTTCTACTCCAACTCAATTCATAGGTCTCTTCTAGAGAAACCAAATAAGCTAAAATTAATTTGGATCCCAGGTCACGTACAGATACCCGGCAGCAAATGTGCCGACATAGCAGCTAAAAATGCTATAAACGCACCACTCATAATTACACCCAATGTAGTCTTCTCGGACATAAAATGTTTTTTAAAATCCCACTTCCTCCAAAAACACCAATAAATTAAAAAAATTACGATGTCATCTACGTACATCTCCATTATACCTTCGTTTATTAATTTTTGGAAAATATAGTTAACGTATTTTAACACCATTGTATTCAATTTACGAAAGTCTACGCATAGTCTGTAGCGACCATCTTTTTTCTTTGCCAATACCACCTTGCTAGCGACCTCTGAGCACGACTCACGTATAATGGCCTTCCGCAACCATTCATCTACTTGTTCCTTTACGAATTTTCTCTCCGCTATTGTCAAACGAGTTGGGGACTCACAAAAGACGATATCCTTATTTTTTGGAACAATATTCAACTTAATTGGACAGTTCAACTGAACAAAACTCGGCTTATAGTTTTCAATTAATTGTTCAACAATTTTCTTGAATTTAGGTTTAACATCTACTTCATTGTTGCTACTCATAAAATAAACATTACACGCACTTGCGTTATCTTCAATCGGGTGAAAGCGATACCCATTGATGTCCATTGTTGCAACAAATTTCTAAAAAAATCGTACCCAATGATTACGTCCACATTGATATTACTATCCGTGATTACTAAAAAGGTGTGCTGCGTACTTAACCCGTCGACGAACCCACACCCTCTGCGGCGACATTGCCTAAACCATAATAGTGTAGCGAAATTTCTCTGCAACTTGCATGTGCTAAATATTTGCTCATACACACCCGAACGTATTAACGACACATTTGCTCTAGTGTCTACCAAACAGCACAAGTTTTCGTTATTAATTGTCAACTGCTTTATTCGCTCTTTGTTAAACACAATGTTGATATTACGCCTAGACTCGGGACACTGCTTAGCCATATGACCAGTACCATTACATTTGTGTCTTGTTTGCAATCGACCCTTTTTGTTGTGATGAACCACAATTAAAACAATGTTGACTCTTATGCGTGGAATACAATGCTCGCGACAGACTGCAAGCGACATCTGTCAAATATTAAAATACACACGTTCTTATGGACGAACCTATTTTGACAGCTGCACGACTACACGACGGCAGGCCGACAGTTGTCGTTCTCGCTAACTTCAATTTTATCCTATATTTGCCAACGACAGTAGGACGACAGTAGAATGGTAGACAGAGAGATGAGGTATAGTGGTGATGCCACTAATATGTAAAATGTAATATTACTCAAAGTTCTAAAAACCAGACGTTATTTTACAAATAAAAGCATAAAATAGCTCTGTTACATCATTTATAATAACAATTCGTAATTTAAAACAAATATGTTTACTATTTACTTATTTTTTGCTTAAAAATTTCACATTGAACAAAATATTAAAATTTCATTGAAGTGCAAGGTATTAGAATGGCCACAACGAAATTGTGTACATGCAAAATGGACAACTGCGTTGTTTTGTGTACATGCCGGCCATTGTTATGTTGCTGCCCTCTCACAAACGTTCTTGTAGTAGGATTCACAACGCCATTTTCAGTTCACTGTCGTGCTGCTGCAGTCTGTCGCTAGCATAGTGTTTCGCGCATTACGCTCTACGTTGCTGCCACTCTTATCTGTTTCAATTTGCTCACGACCCCCTGCTGCATATCGACGTGCACTTGCTTCGTTAGGCTTAACCAACGGTTCGATCAATTCGTATACTTTGATTATTTCTTTGTAATTTCGTGCGCTATATAATGGATATTTTTGATCATTTCGCACTTCTACACCATCAGCTATGTACGAAATCACTGACTCCTCTTCTACATTACCTACCGCTGCTACTTTGCTCGTCTGAAGAACGTACTCATGGAAATTCTCTGATGTATGTTTTCGTCGTTGCCTTAGCTGTTTATGTACCTCTGCGCTGCTTGGTGTTTTATCGAACTCCTCCAATAATTTAATACACAACGGCTCATAGCTGGATACTGTAACAGTTTCTAAAAACAATGCTGTTATGCCTTTCATTTTGTTGCGTGCGTTGGCATACTTTTGCTTGAGTGTCAATTCATAAGCCTCATCATTTTCGTCGAAATTAGCAATCCACTCTCGAACTTTAATAGATTCCCCATCAAAACACGGTATAATTTTTGCGCACGCCTCGATGGACACATTATTATACTCTCCCAACAAAGTTGCTAAAGAGAGTATTATAGTTTTGTTCACATAACGGTTGTTTGTAAGTCCTAAAACTAAAAGAGTCAGATATAGGGTTATATATACCAAAGTGATCAGGGTGACGAGTAGAGTTGAAATCCGGATGTCTGTCTGTCCGTCCGTCCGTGCAAGCTGTAACTTGAGTAAAAATTGAGATATCATGATGAAACTTGGTACACGTATTTCTTGACTCCATAAGAGGGTTAAGTTCGAAGATGGGCAAAATCGGCCTACTGCCACTCCCACAAAATGGCGGAAACCGAAAACCTATAAAGTGTCATAACTAAGCCATAAATAAAGATATTAAAATGAAATTTTCCACAAAGGATCGCATTAGGGAGGGGCATATTTGGACGCAATTTTTTTGGGAAAGTGTTCGTGGCCCCGCCAACTACTAACTTTTTTGAACATATCTCGAAAACTACTATAGCTATGTCAACCAAACTGTATAGTGTCGTTTCTTTTAGGCATTTCCATATACAGTTCAAAATTGAAGAAAGCGTATAATAACCACGCCCACCTCCCATACAACGGTTATATTGAAAATCACTAAAAGTGTGTTAACCGACTAACAAAAAACGTCAGAAGCACTAAATTTTACGGAAGAAATGTCAGAAGGAAGCTGCATCCAGGCTTTTTTTAAAAATTGAAAATGGGCGTGGCGTCGCCCACTTATGGACCAAAAACCATATCTCAGGAAGTACTCAACCGATTTCAATGAAATTCGGTATATAATAATTTCTTAACACCCTGATGACATGTACCAAATATGGGTGAAATCGGTTCACAACCACGCCTGAAATCTCGATTATCACTTTATCATGCGAGAGTATAAAATGTTCGGTGACACCCGAACTTAGCTCTTATTTGTGTCGCTCTGCTTCATTGTCTCCACAAATAGTTTCAATAATGCTCCAACGTCGTTACTACTTACCATGTTGCTTGCTTCTTCTTTTTTCTACTCTCCTTCTTCGTTGAACTCGTTGCTCTGCTTTTGTTCGAATATCTCAACTTCGTTAACTGCTTCTCCGTTCTCGCTGCTGTGATCTGCTTTGTTTTCGCTGCTTACTTCGACCGCAACTAATTGGTTCTTTGAACTTTCTGCTCCGTTCTTCTGCGTTTTTTGGCTACTGTAAATTTACTCGGCTTTTTATTTGAATGCAACATTAGGCGCTGCGTGTTTGCTCTTCGGTTGAACCCCTATGTAAGGTCCAATAGGACCAAAGTTTATTAATACAAATGAGATTTATTACATGAAAGTTGATACAAAAAGAAATTAAATTATACAAAGTTGAACCGCAGTCCTCGAACATGGATAATATGATACTCGTATCTTTTTAGCATTGGCTCTCTTTTTCTCTCAAACGCGTCCCCTGATTATTTGACAGCGATGGAGATCAGGGAATTTCTGACAGTTTCTTTCAGAAAAATCGGGATGCCAGAAGTAAACCGCTATAATTACCAGACGAAATTAATGTGAAATGAAATTTCATTGAACTGTGCGAACATATTTTGGCAAAATAAATGTTTATGTAAATTAATTAATGATTTTGCATTTTAGCATTTATATATGTATGCATTTTCAAATTGTTTAATTTAGGGGTTTGTATAATTTATTAAATACAGTCTCGTATCATATTATCCATGGTCCTGCTGCCGAAACTTCGCGTTCTGTCTTCCTCACCTCTTTCTGCCAGGCTGTCCTCTATTGACCAGCGTTGCCACCTTACATATATAATGAAATATGAACATACTATTATTTCGCAGTATACTGTATAATTAACATCGTGATTGATCTTACCACTCACACTAACATTCTTAACTCCACCTAAATTATTTGCACTACTGTATATACCTACATCATATTAGCTTAAGGCCTCAGATGCCATACCTTCTACTTTATATATTGTTCTGAAATTTAGTTATAGTTTCAATATTCTTATAAATAAATAAATAAATAAAATCTCGGGAAGTGGTTTTTGTAATGAACGTATGATTTAAGCGAGAGTTGACTTGCAGGACATGTAAACCTATTAGCGAATTGGCATTAAAAATATCAGAACTGGTTAATTACCACGACTCTTCTAAGTATCATCCTACCTATAACCTTCTATAATATCTTATACGCCTTTTCCTCTAGTGTTAAAATGTTTACTACTTTTCAACCGCATTTTTTCAATAATTTCTGTCTGTCAAGCGGACGTCGCATTCGCCATTCATAATTGACTATAATTTTCTTTCAACAGGTGCTGAAATCGAATTTGAAGTGGATGTTTTACACAAATGGGAACTATTCTTCTTACATATTAATCCGAATACCAAAAAACTAAATGTGGTTTTTGTCGGTCCGGAGCTAAATCAAAGTAATGTGCCCTTTGAACAATTGGCGAAAACGAAGTAAATATAGAAATCATTTCTTCCGTTACTTAAAAGCAAACACTTAAAAAATGTTCGTAAATATTCAGATGTTGCAGGTCTTGTCGTAAAACACAGCGCGTGGTAAGTTACAGTTTTCAAAACCAACTGTACCATGATTACTTCAACTTGCCTACATTCATGACACCCGATTTAAGTAAGTCGACTATATATTACACGTATAAATACATAAGTATTTCCAAACTAATTTGAAACTTGTCTTTGCAGTTTGCTTCTTCAACGCTGGCTTATATCGTTACAATGGTTTTCAAATGGAGGATACTTGGCCTGAAACTATACGTATTGCCACGAATATAAAGTGCCCCATTGTCGTTACATCATATACGGCGTATGAGGGGCCACTCGATATTTCAAGATTGATTCTAGAATCCAGTCGAAGAATTAATGTTATTATGCCACCAGCTCTAAATCCATTTGCTTCTCAGAAGCCAGAGCGGAACTTTATATCGGATGAGGAAGCACCATTGATGTTTAAGAACTATTACTGTTTCCTAGTAGAATAAATAAACAATGTCTCATGAAAAATCGTGCTTCAGGCAACGGTGAAAAAAACATTATTCTTACTTTAGCACGAAAAGCTTCAAAATGTCATTGTAGGGTTACCATATCGGTCTCAGTTGTCGAGACATGTGTGTGACATACAATTTCGTGCACTCGCTCAAAAAAAATAATGATTAAAAAAATCAGTGCATTTTTCACGAAAATCAGAGAATTTTCACGAAAATCATCCGAAGGACAAAATGAGGGAATTCCCTGACAAATTGGGGATCATGGTAACCCTAGGCTATCAGGAATGGATTCTTTACAAATTTCAACCATATATATCTTACATTAACCGGTATTTTTGGTAAAATGTCAACTATTGCCACTGGGGTATTCGGGACCTAGAAGCTTGAACCGTTTTAGTTCGATTTGAACAATTTTTGGTCACAAGATGACATACTTCAAAGGCACTACTCTTGCAAGTTTTATTTCGTTCTATTAATGGCTTCTTAACTTGTATACCAGAAAGTGAAAGAATGCAGTGAAATTTAAAATTGTGTTGTGTGCGAAATAGGCGTGGTTGTAGTCCAATTTCGCTCATTCGATGTAGCTTAGATATTTTTGAAGATATTTATATAATATATTAAATTTTTTTGAAATCGTTCGAAGAAGTCCCGAGATATATGATTTCACATAAAGTTGGAGGCCAAGCCCATTATCCAATTTTGGGCCGGCTTTTTTAAAGCCCTCATATACCATATTGAAGGTAAAATCCAATTAGTGATTTATAGTGCTTTTAGTATTTTTTAACAGTACCGTTAGATGAGAAGTGACAGGGCGGCCCGATACAATTTACCGCCATAGGCAAATACCAAATTTTGCGCCCCTTTTAAGACTATTCTTCCATAACAATAAATTTTATTACTTTGGCAATTTATTGAGGTAATTTTATTAAAAAAGCACTCATTTTACAAAGTTGAAATGATTAACATACACCTTTATTACAATTTTCCCTAACTCAGTAAATATAGAAAAAAACAAGTAAGGAGGGCTAAGTTCGGGTGTCACCGAACATTTTATACTCTCGCATGATAAAGTGATAATCGAGATTTCAGGCGTGGTTGTGAACCGATTTCACCCATATTTGGTACATGTCATCAGGGCGTAAAGAAAGTATTATATACCGAATTTCATTGAAATCGGTTGAGTACTTTCTGAGATATGGTTTTTGGTCCTTAAGTGGGCGACGCCACACACATTTTCAATTTTTAAAAAAAGCCTGGATGCAGCTTCCTTCTGACATTTCTTCCGTAAAATTTAGTGTTTCTGACGTTTTTTGTTAGTCGGTTAACACACTTTTAGTGATTTTCAACATAACCTTTGTATGGGAGGTGGGCGTGGTTATAATCCGATTTCTTCCATTTTTGAACTGTATATGGAAATGCCTAAAAGAAACGACTCTATACGGTTTGGTTGACATAGCTATAGTAGTTTTCGAGATATGTACAAAAAAGTTAGTAGTTGGCGGGGCCACGAACACTTTTCCAAAAAAATTACGTCCAAATATGCCCCTCCCTAATGCGATCCTTTGTGGAAAATTTCATTTTAATATCTTTATTTATGGCTTAGTTATGACACTTTATAGGTTTTCGGTTTCCGCCATTTTGTGGGCGTGGCAGTGGGCCGGTTTTGCCCATCTTCGAACTTAACCCTCTTATGGAGTCAAGAAATACGTGTACCAAGTTTCATCATGATATCTCAATTTTTACTCAAGTTACAGCTTGCACGGACGGACGGGCAGACGGACGGACGGACAGACAGACATCCGGATTTCAACTCTACTCGTCAACCTGATCACTTTGGTATATATAACCCTATATCTGACTCTTTTAGTTTTAGGACTTACAAACAACCGTTATGTGAACGAAACTATAATACTCTCTTTAGCAACTTTGTTACGAGAGTATAAAAAAAAGAAAAAACGTTAACTGCAGTTTCACCGAAGCTAAATACCCTTCACAGGTGCATTTCTGTTAGTAACTAAGTGTTCAGTTTGTATGGAAGCTATATACTATTATATAATAATCCGATCTTAAAAAATTTTTCGAAGATTATGTTGTTACCTTAAGCAGTAATCCATGAAAAATTTCGTGAAGATACCACGTCAAATGCGAAAGTTATCCATACAAGAACTTGATTCCGATCATTCAGTTTGTATGGCAGCTATATGCTATAGTTAACCGATCTGAACAATTTCTTCCGAGATAACATTGTTGCTTTAGAAAATAACCTGTGCCAAATTTTGTAAAAATACATTGTGAAATGTGAAAGTTATCCATACAAGAACTTGATTCCGATCGTTCAGTTTATTTGGCAACTATATGTTATAGTGGTTCGATGTCGTCAGTTCCGACAAATGTTCAGATTCTTGAAGAGAAAATGACGTTTGCAAAGTTTCAAAACAATATCTTAAAAACTGAGGGGCTAGTTCGTATATATACAGACAGACGGGCATGACTAAATTGACTCAACTCGACATACTGATCATTTATATACATATATACTAGGGTCTCCGACCCTTCCTTCTGGGTGTTACAAACTTCGTGACAAACTTAAAATACCCTGTTTAGGGTATAATTAAACACATCCTATATATAATCTGCAATATTTTCTGCATCACATATTGCACTCTTGAAATCGAAGTTGTCCCAGGACATTCAAGCACGTCGTAACCAAATGTTACAAACACCCATTACGGGGTTATACCAATCTCAGATGAAAGTTCAAATCCTATTACATTCAACTCTTTTTTACACGGCAGATACGTTTTTCAGAAATCTGTGTAAAAATAAACCATGTAAAGAAGAGGCGTTTGCTATAGTAAAATGGGGACCATGTTCCATGTCATCTGAAAACCGTATAAGGTGAAATAAAGAACTATATTTACTTCCAAAAACCGTGTAAAAAATATTGAAAACTATAAAACACAAATTGTATTCTCATATGGCATTTTATTGAGCATTAAAACTTAAAGTACATAATTCATGCAGGTGAAAAATTGGTAGAGCAAGCAAAAAGCAAAAGAAATCTGTTAATCGAAAATTAAGAACAGAAAAATTAGAAAAGAAATAAAAAAAAAAATATTTACATAGATACATAATTATTCGTCGCTACTTGATACCAAGCGCAATTGTTTGCGACGAACTAGACTAAAGTCGGTATCATCACTTTAGATATCCACCAAATTATCCGAACTTTTTTATTTAAAAACCTTTAATAGAATGCTTTTGGCTTTTAAAGTTTCAGTCTCAGGGTACGTTTGATTTTGAGATAATTTTTTATGAATTGATTCACCATACTTATACCAAATGTTAGACCGTCATCAATTAAATGTAATGCTATGTAATGCAATTCAAAATAGAATTTTTTTCCATGCATCAACAACCTTCTCTATTGCATCTGAAATATAATATGTTGTTCCAATTATGCCCTGATCTAATGGTTGAACCAAGGAAGTGGTATAAGATGACTAGGCGCATTATCTATAAGCAAAAACACTTCAAAATCAAGACATTGTTGTATATTTTGTATATTTTAGCTATATACATACATATAT